GGAAGACTTCATTAATACTGTTAAGTTGGCAATACTCCCCAAATTGATCTACAGATTCAATATAATGTCTATTAAAATCCCATCTGAATTTTTTACAGAAATTGACAAAGTGATTGTAAACTTCAGATGAAAATGCAAGGGACTCAGACTAGCCAAAACAATCTTGAAAAAAAAAAAGAGGATTCACATGCTCAGATTTCAAAACTTGCAGCAAAGGCAACAGTAATCAAGATAGCGTGGTCCTGGCATTAGGATAGACATTTATAAATCAATGGAATAGAATTAAGTGTCCAGAAATAAAACCTAACATTTAGTAAAAAAGACAATTCAGTGGGGGAAAGAATAGTCTGTTCAGCAAATGGTACAGGGACAACTGGATATACTACGTGCAGAAGAATCAGTTTGCTTCCTGTCTTACACTATATTAAAAAATTAACTCAAAATGGATCAGACTCCTAAATGTAAAAGCTAAAGTGGTGAAACTTTCAGAAGAAGATATTAACTGTCAATCTTTGTGACCTTGGATTAGGTAACAGTTTCTTAGATATGACACCTAGAGCACAAGCAGCAAAAGAAAAATGATAAATTAGACTTGATCAAAATTTAAAATGTCTGTGTTTCAAAGGATACCATCAAGAAAATGAAAATACAACTGATAGAATGGGGGAAAATATTTGCAAATCATGTATCTGATATTTGGTTAGTATATAAAATATATAAAGAACTCTTTTTTTTTTTTTTTTTAAGTAGTCTCCATTGCTGGGGGCTTGAACTCAGGACCCGGAGATCAAGACCTGAGCTGATGAGATCAAGAGTTGGATGCCCAACCAACTAAGCCACCCAGATGCCCTAGAATATATAAAGAATTCTTAAAACAGTGAGAAAAATTATGGCAGCCCGGTTACAAAATGGACAAAGAACTTGAAATTATTTCTCCAGAAAAGACATGTGAATGTACAATAAGCACATGAAAAAATGCTTAACGTCATTAATCAGTAGGGAAATGCAAATGAAAACCATAATGAGATACCGTTTCACATCCATTTAGAATAGTTATAATCAAAAAGATGGACAATAACAATTATTGGGGAGCATTTAGAGAATTGGTGAAATCGGAACCCTCATACATTGCTTGTGCAAATGTAAAATGGTACCACCACTTTGGCAGGTCCTCAAAAGGTTAATGTACAGTTATTGTTACCAGTGGGAGAGTCTGCATTGTGTGAATGGAGGTCTTGGTTCTTGGATTCCCCATGAAAGATTTGTGTGAGGATCCACACTCGAATCAAGGCGGCCAGAAGGAAAGTAGCAGGCACAAAGCAGTTTATGAAGGACAATTACACTCTCAAGGTGGGCGAGTGGGCAGGCCCAGAGGTGGCAACTGTACCGGGGTTAGGGGTATCTTTTCTTTCTATGTTTGCATAGGTTGTGGGTCATAACTAGGGCAGTCTTCGACTTACATTGTTTCTAATCATCTAAGGGACTCCTACTGGTTGGGAGGTGGAGTTTTTGACCCAGAACTGTCATGGCCATCTTCTGCCATGGGGATAAGTCAGGGGTGGGTTGAAGAAACCACAATGTGAATATATTATAATGAAGCTATAGGTTACCCTGGGGGCAGAGATTGAAGAGGAGCGCACATGTTCTGTACCTGTGACTCTTAGTCTGTCAGTGTTGGAAGCCATGAGGCCAGGATGTTAAAAGCCACAGTCAGGATGTCGTGCCCCAAGCTTCTAATGTGTCACCTCTTTATCACCACCTTTGCCTCCAGCTCATGTCTGACTGCCTACTCTATCATTACCATATGACCCAGCAATACCATTTCTACCTATATACCCAAAAGAAATGAAAACACGTTCACACAAAAACTTGTGAGTGTTCATAGCATCATTATCCATACTAGCCCCCAAATGGAAATAACCCAGATGTCCATCAAATGATGAGTAGATTTTAAAAATGTGGTATATCCATGCAATGGCATATTATTTGGCCATGAAAGGGAATGTCATACTGATACATGCTACAACATGGGTGAACCTTGAGAACAGCTAAGTGAAGGAAGCCAGACCAAAAAGGCTGCATATTGCATGATCCCACAAATATGAAATGTCCAGAATAGGCAAGTCCATAGAGACAGAAAGTAGATTAGTGCTTGCCTAGTGGGAGAGGATGTGTAATGACTAGTAATGTGTATAGGGTTTCATTTTGGAGTGATGAAAATATTGTGGCATTAGGTAGTGGTGGTAGTTTCCTACTTTGTGAATATAGTAAAAACCACTGAATAGTACCCTTTAACATGGCAAATTTTATGGTATGTGAATTTTATCTCAAAAGGAAAATTAATTTTCTTTAATGTCTTAAAAGATCATTATTTGGTGATCTTTGGGGGCTGCTGTGGCATTAACTCATTATTCTGCAAACTGGTAAATTTATGGAAATGATTCTGTAGTAATCCAGTAACAGGGTAACCAAAGAGTGGATGAGGGAAAACTTTACTTTCTGAAAATTGTAACTAATTAATGGTAGAATATCACCATGTTGCTATACCTACTAGAATAGGCAGTGATGATTCTTGGCAGCTAATGAGGGAACGTGATACTGAATGGATCAGACTACTACTATTGGAACCCTCAGATCTATCTTGATATTACTGAAAGACTGTCTCCTGCCTCCAGCTTATTGAATCAGACAAGGGATTTTCTCCCTGGGGGTTCCCATTCACTTCGTCTCCCGGAACTCCTATTTTAGCTTAACTGCATCTGGCAGCCTTTGTTAGAAAGTTTGGTTTAGGGCAGGATGGGATTTGTGCTTCTATTTTTCTTTTTTGGTTTTCATGTGATTCCTGAAAGGAGACAGGGTTTTATGACTTTACCAAGTCATCTTTTTTTTTTTTAAAGATTTTATTTATTTATTTGACAGAGAGAGACACAGCGAGAGAGGGAACACAAGCAGGGGGAGTGGGAGAGGGAGAAGCAGGCTTCCCGCTGAGCAGGGAGCCCGATGTGGGGCTCGATCCCAGGACTCTGGGATCATGACCTGAGCTGAAGGCAGACGCTTAACGACTGAGCCACCCAGGTGCCCTTTACCAAGTCATCTTAAACCCAAGAGTCTTTGGGCACTAAGTCAATAGACCAGGTGAGAGATAATCAAGATTTGAGCTGGGGCAGAGGCCGTGTTGACAGTTTAACAGGACAGATTGATTTGTTGCCTGGGGATATTTATTAGTCAGGGCGTATAGTAGGGGCTTCATTAATGTTTGTTGACTGTGGAATGAACATAAGTGAATTTGTCCCAATTTTAGGGTTTCATTGCAATATTGGTATGAATTATGCCACTTTGGTATGAATTGTAGCCCACTCCTAAAGTTACAGTGCATGAATTGAGCTTCTGGAGGAGAAATTGCAAACTGGTGCCTGATAGGTCAAATCTAGCCTGCAACTGTGTTTTATTTGGCCTTGATGTTTTGTTTTTTTTCTTTTAATTTGTTGCCAACATTAAAAAATAGTAAGATTTCACATAAAAACTGCCTTCTCTCGAGAAGGCAGATCTGGCAACACTGGGCTTACCTTCCCTTGTGCAACTCAGCTGAAGCTGAATAGTGACTGCATTAGACCCAGGCCGGTGCTGCCCCTGCCACTCACTGCCCCCTGTGGGCATTTGAGTTTGTGACCCGTGCTGCAGTGGTTTCAGGCGGCTGTTTTATAAATCTCACATTGTTACTTTTAATTACCTTTCTTCCTATATTAATAGCTGTTTAAACATACCATGTGATTATGACACCTATCTCATTAGAAAATAAGTTCTGTGTTGGCCGTAAGTGTGTCTTCTAGATATTCTCCATGGTGCTGGTATCATGCCTTACACACTGTAGGGAAGTACTTATTTATACATCTCTGCTCTGATTTGGCAAGGTAATCGAGGAAGCCCAGTCAGTATACCATGGCACTCAAGACATTTTTATGATCCAACAAAACATCTTGACACGTTGGTTTGGAAATAGGTATCTCTGTTATTACCATTTTTTAAAAAAAGATTTTGTTTATTTATTTGTCAGAGAGAGAGAGAGAGCATGAGCAGGGGGAGAGGCAGAGGGAGAGGAAGAAGCAGGCTCCCCACTGAGCAAGGATCCTAAAGCAGGACTTGATCCCAGGACCCCGGATCATGACATGAGCTGAAGGCAGACGCTTAAGGGACTGAGCCACCCAGGTGTCCCTGTTATTATCATTTTGAAGAAATGACTTGTGTTTACTAAAGATAATGCCCTCCTCTTATTTTTTTTTTTTTTAGATTTTATTTATCTGACAGAGAGACAGCGAGAGCAGGAACACAAGCAGGGGGAGTGGGAGAGGGAGAAGCAGGCTTCCTGCCGAGCAGGGAGCCCAATGCTGGGATCATGACCTGAGCTGAAGGCAGACGCCTAACAACTGAGCCACCCAGGCGCCCCTCCCTCCTCTTATTTTTATTAACCAGTTGTCTCAGACGATTATAGGGTTCAAATTTATTAAATTATTCCATTGTGGGGTTAATAAACAACATTTTGGATAATAAGTATTTTCTTGACCATATTAATTAATGTGGACTGAGTTACGTCTTATAAATATTTCCCATAGGTAAATGATTACAGAAAATAAATGGAAAGAGCTGAGCTCTTTACTGGGTTAGTCCTTGTCAGAAACGATATAGGAAAATGAATTAAATATATGTGTTATTTGTTGATACAAGTACAAAGAAATAAAATAATTGGTGGTAATGTTAGAAGTATAGGAAAGAGCTGTGTTGTGTGCATGTGGTTGAATTATAGAGCTTAGTGTAAGAGGAAGTCATTGAGTCAGTTACTATACAGTTTTTGAAAATTATTTCATGAACACAAACCATATTTGCTTTAGCCCCACATTAGCCAATTGGGTAAGGACTTTGAATGTCAAGTTTGAACATTGTAAATGTTGGTTTCATGCCATGTGTATTTCTTAACCCTTATTGTGCGTTTATTTTCACATTAGGTGAGAAATTCATCCACACTTCTTTTTAGTACCTTGATCACAAGAATATTTGGAGTTAAAAGAGGAAAGGATGAACTCTCCAAAAAAAATAGGTAAGCTTCATCTAATGCTAACTTTACTTTTTACAAAATATTGTCCTGGCCAAAAATAATTTTTGGACATTTGCTTACTTTTATGGATTCATCTAGAGCATAAAACTATTAAAATGCTATAGTAAATTAACATAGGCTGCCAAATTCTAAGCTCTTCGGCAAAAATACCTACTGTTTAAATAAGTGGATCTTTCAAAGCAACAAGAATACAGCAAGGTAGCAAGGGCTGAAATATTGAGCTTGTTTCTCAGTGCAACAGCTGAAGTTTTTTTTTTTCTTTGCATCTTCAGGTATTCCTGAAATGTCTAAGTTGCTTTTTCTTGATGTGTTAACCAAGTACTAGCTTGTGTAGTATCTTTGCTTTTTTGCATTAAACTCTGTAGCCAAGGGGAGCAGTTACAGATAGATGTTGGCCACATGGAATAAACAACGCTTTTTTACTTTTAGGTCTTTAGTGTTACGGTTTTTCTTTAAGATATTTTCCTTTTAAGATTTTTTTTTAATGTCTGGAAGGAAACTTATTGAAACAGTTTAATTATGGGTAATTTTTAGATATAATGCACAAGTTCCGTTTTTTGGTTTTTAAAGAAAAGTTTTGAATAGTTGTTTCTTCAGCACTTGGGAGGATTTGATGGTAGTCCAGTGACCAAGTGCTGACACTAGATGTCACTGTCGCTGCATGTTTAATTACTTTCTTTACTTCATTTAGGATCCAATTAGGCCCAGTACTTCTCTTAATGATCTATAGATAAACTAAGGCCCTGTTCCTCTCCTACCTAAAAAGGCTGATTATCACAATTTTTAATTTAGGTTTTAAGCTGTTACTTGTTAAAATATTTTCTTGTGATGGAAGTGAGTTTTAGGAATTAGAAAATGTCATGGAATAATTTTATGATGCACTGTTGATAATTCGAATGAAACCTACTGATAGTTCTGAATTGTCATTTAAATTGCTACTTATTACCCTATGAAATTCAAATATTTAAAAAGAAAGTAACTGGCTATAAGTGTGAATCCCCTGAGTGTATTCAGGAAATACTGGAGAGTTGTTGTTGTTTTAATCAAGTTGTATTTTTAAAATAATGCTACCATTACTTTGAAAGGATGATTACGATTTTTACTATTAGCCAGTTTCTAAAGAAGTTCTTCCTCTCAGTAGTTTGAAATCACTAATATTTGTTTCTCCTTAGCTTTCTTTATTTTGTTAGTAATTCTAAAAAGTATTAAGGTTTAAAACAGTTTGGTCATGTTATAAGGCCATGATAAATAATGGCATAAATAAAATATGAGATAATTAACAGTGAAATTAATGTTTAAAACTGAACGTGACAGTGAAGAAATGCTTTTTTCCCTTTTACTTTTTATAAAGTGAGTGATTCTCAGAAGTGTATACAGATTTTACTATGTATAGGAGAAAATCATCAGATTCATTCCATTTAGGTTACGTCTGAAGGAGGGTGGAAGAATAACACAATGAAACCACCCTGCTTTTAATCATTTTGCCAAAGGCATGCTGATGGGAGCCACCATGATAAATTCATTCTTCTTAAATAGGGAAGGTTACAAAATATGTAACGTTCCTAGAAAGAGGGAAATGGAATATTCATATAATTGTTTTAAGTAAACTTGAAAGGTGAAATGAAGGAATTAAGAAATTAATTTTTTTAAATGTGATGAACATTCTTGGTAGGAAAGAGTCTTTATTTTAATAATCTGAAGATTGGTCTATATCATTATGTATACAAGGCTTCTGTTCTCTGTAAGACTATATTTCCTGGAAGCATCCACTAGATTTGCTCTGCAAAACCTTTAGTGTCTTAAATTAGCCATTATTTGTAGTGGTTATTCTAGTTGTAGTTTGTTTAATTATGTCACTTTTTGTTGAAATGTTTATAACCCTGTTCCCTATAATATTAACTCCCTGAGGGCAGAACCTTTCCCATCTATTCTGTGTATGTATAATGGGCACTTTAAGAATGCTAGTAATAATGATGTCTCGTTTGTTGGTTACTCAACCATCGAATAACAACACTCAGCTGATGAGACCTCACAGGCCAGTTAAGTCTACTTTCGTAGCCACAGATTGTTCTGCACACCGTCTTGCAAATGTGTGCTCTTGGTCAGAAGGGAACTGGTCATAAAAAGAACATCTGCCTTTTCCCATCTAGTGGGAAAAAAATGGCTATCCTGGAGTAAACAGACTTGGTTTCTAGGCATTTTGCTGCTGCTAGAGATGACCTTAATAGACTCCCTTATCCTCTTTGTACTTCAATTTCTCCATCTATGTAACAGGCATAATAAAATCCGTGCTCTGTTCTTGTAGGGCTATGGTGGGGATAAAACAAATGATTAACTGTTCATTTTCTTTTAAAATGTTGGAAGTCACGGTCCTGGGTGGCTGTCAGTTAAGTGTCCGACTCTTGATTTCAGTTCAGGTCATGATCTCAGGGTCCTGAAATCGAGCCCCGCGTGGGGCTCCGAGCTCAGCACGGAGTCTGCTCGTCCCTCTCCCTCTGCTCCTCCCCTGCTGCACACGGGCTTGCTCTCAAATAAATAAATAAAATCTTAAAAAATAAATAAATAAAATGTTGGAAGTCCTACACAATTAGAGTTTGCTTTTTTTCTGTTACCACTTCTGTTAAGGTGCTCATCCCATCATCTTAGAGTTACACTGAAATTTTTGAGGACAGAGTCATTGTCTAACCCATTTGTATACCTGGTACCTACCGTACGTGTGGCATAAAATAGGCACACAGAAATAGTTACTGAAAGAGCAAGTAAATTTTGTTACTAGAGGAAAGATAAGAAATCTGGTTTCTACTCCCTGCCTTTGTTGCCGTATAGCCACGATAACCAACTGAGACAAATTAGTTAACCTCTCTGGGCCTTGGTTTTCTCCTCTAAGATAAGAGATTTGGACCATCCTGGAGGTCTCTTATTTTTGCAAAATACTAAGCTAAGGCTTTATGTAATTGTTACTAAAATTGTGGGTTTGGTAAACCGCTCTATAACCAGTTCCTAAAACAGTACCTGCCTTGTAGTATGGACAAGAAGTTCCCTTTTCATATGTAAAGAAGGGAGCAGGAGGTTCTGCATCCCCATTTATAAGTATGTAGAGTGCTGCACTGGTAATTGTTGGACTCTAGAGCTCCTTAGTCTTGTTCTAGATGTTTTTCTTGGATTATGAAGAATGAGAAAACTTAAGTTTCACTTGGTTTTTTGAAATAATGTTACAACATTTTAATTTGCTAAATCTCTTTTCCTTTCCCTTTATTACCCCCTGGCTGACTTGGCCTGACAGAATGAATCTTTGATCCCATGTAGAGGCAGAGGCTGCACAGCTCTGTGATCTGGGGAGTGTGCTGGGCTTTCCAAAATGGCCTCCATCTGCAGTGTTGTGAGTGGGCGCCCCTTGATAGTTCCTCGTTCCTTACAGGACAGGAGCTAAACCAGTGTGATCTTTAACTCTAGGTCTTTCTCTTTAGCCCATGTGGGTATTAACCTTCAACTATTCTAGTTTCAGGTAAATGACAAATGTCAATATATAGCAGTCTGAGAACTTTATTTTAGATTTTGCCAAAGCTTCATTTTGGTCCTCAGTATAGAGAGTATTCTATAGCTCTTGCTTTCTCTATTTTATTTTATTTTGTTTTGCTTTGTTTTATTGTATTTATTTATTTATTTGAGAGGGAGAGAGTGAGAGAGCGTGTGCACACATGCATGCGAGTGGGAGAAGGGGCAGAGGGAGAGAGAGATTTTTTTTTTAAATTCTTTTTTTTTTTTATTAAGATTTTATTCATTTGACAGAGAGAGCACAAGCAGAGGGAGAGAGAGGGAGAAGCAGGCTCCCTGCCGAGCAAGGAGCCCAATGCGGGACTTGATCCCAGGACCCTGGGATCATGACCTGGGCTGAAGGCAGCCGCTTAACTGACTGAGCCACCCAAGCGTCCCGAGAGAGAGATTCTTAAGCAGGCTCTGTGCCCAGCACAGAGCCGGACACAGGGCTCCATCTCAGGACCCTGAGTTCATGACCTAAGCCAAATTCAAGAGTTAGACACTTAACCAATTGAGCTACCCAGGTGCCCCTCTCTCTTCATTTTAAATCAATTAGTCAGCCAATGAGAATTTGTAAGCATGTGTCATGAACTCATTATTGACACAATAGAGGAGTACACGAGAAATATAAAACTTGGACCTTGCTCAAGGAGCTTACATTATAGCTAAGGGAACAAAAATTGTTATTTGCAAAAGATATGAGTAGAAGACAATTTTTAATAAGTGGCTGCATAGTGTGCCATGAGTAATAGATGCACTAGAAAATCATTAATGGGAGAGTTGCATGGACTATTTGGGGGAAGTAGTGTTTCTTATAAAGCTTTGGGAATGAGTAAATTTGGGGTACATGGAAACAGGTAGGTTGAAAGATAAAACAATAGAATAATCTTGTTTTTTGTGTTGTTAAGTTATAATAATCTCTATTCTGTCTTGCTGGAGAAAGCTCATATTTAAATTGATAGCTTGGGATGGTTTAGCACAATTTAAGAAAAATATGCCTATAAAAGCATCACCAGGTCCAAGTAAAATTATTTCTAATGACTGCATTAAGAGATGTTGAACTGTATTTATTTTACTTTCCTGGGTGTAAACTACAGATAATTATTTTAGTTATTTCTCCCAGTGTCTTAGTGGTATAGGCCTAGAAGGATCCTCCGAGGGGCATCTGATCTGGTCCAGCCTCTGCTTATAGATAGAATTTGAAGCCGTTTCCAGACAAACTGGCTTCTCTCCTGTTCTTCATGTTTTCTAGGAAAAGAGATTCCACAAGTTTCTGTGGTTACCCACTCCATTGTTTAGGAAATAATTGGATTCTCAAAACTGAAATTGAGAGCTGTAGGGCAATTGGGTTTTTATATTTTAGAGAATGTAATTATTAGAATTCAGAATAGCTTATTTGCTTTGAACTATATAATAGTTTGCAGCAAGCACTTATTTGGCCAAAC